TGTGTGTGTGTGTGTGTGTGTGTGTGTGTGTGTGTGTGTGTGTGTGTGTGTGTGTGTGTGTGTGTGTGTGTATTTAAAATGATTGTCCCCATTATCACAGTATCTGGCCATCTCACAATCTTAAATATATTTATTGTCACAACTTCCTTGATGAGGTACGGAAGTATTCTCATTTTACAGATGGGGAACTGCAGCACAGAAGAACTAAGTGATTTGCCCATAGTCACACTGGAAGTCTGAGGTGGAGCAGGAAATTGAATCCAGGATTCCAGAGTTCCAGGCTAGTGGTCCACACCCTGAACCATCCTTCCTCAAGTCATACCTAATGTTAGTTAAAGCCAAGTGGGAGATCAGAATGGGGCACATATGACAGAATAGGGCTTAAGTGAGCTTGGGCAGACAATGACCTGTACTACAGAAATCTTGCCGTTATCATAGTATGGGTCACATTTTATATTAAGGGTATATTTATACATATTTTGTATAGTGTTAAAAACTAATGTTCTGAATAAATGGTTAATTAATTGTTAAATGTGTAATGCTTAGACTCTCATAAGTATTTTTAATCACTTATGACAATCCCCTCTTAAGGATCTCCTTACACTGAATAGCTGATTATAAAAAATACTGAATAGATAATGATATAGCAACTTCTACAATCAGGCTTGTTCAGAAACTATATTTTTACTATATAATTGTCAATAGATTGCTTAGAACCATCTATACTCCTTTGGGTGTCTGTCACAGGCTTATAACCAAGTTTGCAACTCCTGGACTAAAATATGTCCTGTTCCAAAGCAAAGTAAATGGGTTGCTTATAGCTATAAAAACATGTTACTTATGATTAACATCTTTATAACATCTACTAATTAATCTTTTATAAATGACTTATACATTTGCAATTAACATAAATTGTCCCACTGAAGGAGGCTTTGATCCCCCTGGAATATGAGTAATATCTTAGAAACAATAGAGAGCAGGGAAGTCCACATGGAGGTCCAGGATGCCTGCAAAGCTCCTCCTTTTCCATACATAAAAAGCCATACTATTATGCAGCCCACTGCCAGTAGCCACACTCTCAATCCCAGTGTAAGAGAGTTGCTGGTGGATTAATCAGCAATAATTTCCAAGGGGATTGTTGAACTGAAAACTGCCCAATCTGCACAAGCACATATTCCAGAGAGACTGTTCCCTGGCTCCACCTCTCTGTCTTAGAACCATGGAGTCCAACCCTACAGAGCGAATTCCACAATATCTGGAGGTACACAGGAAATGCAGCAGATCTGCCAGTTGCCCTTTCCTTGCTACAAAAGGCTGTCCACCCTGCCCAGCATAGGATATACAACCAATAACTTACATAGCTGCTAAAGAACTATTTGGCAAAATACAATCACCTTTGCAGTTCTTCAATCTTGTTTCTTCAACTGCTGCTTTCCCCATTAGTTTTACAGTCTAAAATAAATAAATGTGTAATGGTTTATTCAGTGAAGCGATCCTCCTCATACCAGATGACACTGATAACATACTAAACATTCCTTTTGCTGATAAAACAGGATTGAAGTAGTGTGTATATATGCAGCTTTCAAACATAATACCCAATAAAATGCATCTATATTATCTGTGCAACAATTAAACTTCTGCAAATAAATGTCCATATATCTTTAAATCACTTAGCGATCTTTCGTGACATGCAGAATGTCCCTAGGTTTTTCAATATTTTTAAAATAGTAATCTGAGATTATTAAAAAGTTAATTAAATTTTTCAAAAGTTTTAAATGATTGTAGAGTCAAATAACAATAAGTCACAGACAGGAATCTCAGCATTTTGTAACTAGTATCATTAGGGCTGTACAACTTTGATTATTGGGATATGGAGGATTTTGTTACTAGGTCACTGGTTCAAATCCAGACCAGATTGGTTGTAACAGAGTACTTATTACAGATGCCAACCCCAAGCATTCAAAACTCATGAATTAGGGCCCAAAAATCAGATATTGACTTAAAATCATGAGATTTTTTAAAAATATTAATTTTTGGGTTATTTACCTTCTACTTATTGAGCATTTAGAGTCTGCAGTCAAGTCATATTTTCAAACTTTTCTCCATAGACATTATGCTGCAAACTTGATTAAGTTAAAGCTGAGATTCTCATGTAGTCAGTTGCCTCCAACAGCTGTTACTTTAAGAAAACACACCAAATATTACAAGGTGCTCAATAAAATCACAAGACTTACGATAAAATCATGAGACATGGCAACACCCTAAATCAAAATCCCAGATCCAAATACTATCAACTTGGAGAAAGTCTAGGTCCAAATTCTGCAGTCCACCTCTCTTAGCACGTGAGATTCCGATTGTTCTCTTTTACTCTAAGGTGCATAAAGCACAGATATGGGAATACAACAGGGTCTTGAATTTAAGATAGCAGAAGTGACACCATAACAGCATTTATATCCAAGGCTATGTTGATCTTCAACAAATCAGGTACAGTATGAAGCAAATTAATTTGGGAAGTTGTGTTTGTGTTGAGAATAGCCAGTTGGTGATGATCATGATTTAAATACAAGAATCTCTCCTGATTTGATATATGTATCCAAGTAAACTAGCAGCTAGACACTTGTGCATGAATGCATTTTTGAAGTCAGACACCTGACCATCCTGACAAGAAAAGCCATCCTATAAATGTGAAGATCTATTCATGTTAATCTTTTTTTTAAAAGAGGGCTCTAAGGCTCCCAAGAATGTGAACCCGTTCAATGCCTTTCGCTTCCTTATTTAAAATAAACCAAAATTTCAAAGGCTATATATTTTTCATGAATGTGCTTCAGAGCTATTTTATTTCTTCTTTCCACATAGATAGTTTACTACATCTTTTGCATCAGACTCCAGGAGAGTTTGCTGATACATCTATCAGTTTATCTCCTTCTCTGAAGGATATGTTTAATCCTGATTATTAAATGTTTTTCCTAGACAACAAATTGGTGAAGAAATGTAGATTTTTGAAGGTGTCTCATGATTTAATTCTTTGTGACAATTTACTTCATGCTCAGAAAAGCTGAGGTTTGGAGAATGCAAAGGTTCTAAGAGCAAGGCATTCTTGAGCAGTGTTTCTCGCATGCGGCCACTAGCGGATTGTTATGCGGCCATAACAGCCTCCAAAGCTTGGGCAGAGATATGGGGGGCAAAGCAGTAGCACAATCCTGCAGTAACCAACCTTGATGTTTCCGCTGCATCCCCAGCAGGGATCAGTGCTCTGCACCACGCAGCCTCCTTGGGAGCTCTGGGCAGCACTGCTGGAGACATGTGTAGTTGGTGTGCGCAGCACCAGAGGTGGCTCTTGTCAGTGGAAGAAGCTGTGGTGTTCAGTGACTGGGTTGCTCCCCTGGGCAGCTCACACCCAGCTGGGGTACAGGGAGCCAGGGATTCCACAGGCGGCTGGTGAGTTCTCAACCCATCTTCCCTGGGGCGGGTTCTTGCTAAAGGGCCATGGGAGGCAGGAACAGAGAGACGTGTTTGTCAGAGTGCCCACCAGCAAGAGTTGATGGCCACACTCCGAGATCACCAAAAAATGTGTTGTGAGAACCCCTGTTCTAGAGGTTGCACATTCATCTTAAGAGTCTGATACACCTCCCTCCTGGAAACTTTAATTCTACTGGATCACATGTTGATATTTGATCTTTCAGTGAAGTCAATGAAACTTCATGTCAAGATGTCAGGATTCTTTATGTGGTGCTGTAGGACACATCTGCCTAAGGATTCTCTAGCTGAGTGTCTTTCCACAATGAGGCCTAATCTACATTAGAAAAGGTTTGCAAGTATAGCTATATTGGCAAAGTGCCCTAGTGTAGATACAGATTATACTGGGGGAAAAAGTGCTTTTGGCAATATAGATAATACCAGTTCATTGAGTGAAATAAGCTATACTGACAAAAGCACCTATATGCCAGTATAACTGCATCTACATCATGGGTTTTTTTTTAATCACCTTACAAATGTCATTAAAAACCACCACCCCTAATGAACATTATTATATCAGCAAAAGCTGTACGTGTAGATGTGACCAGATATATGAAACAGAAAAATATTCTCATTCACTTCAAATAAGATTCAGATCATATCTTATGGTTGGATCCTAATAGCTATTTACACTGGAGAGAGAGGGCAATTCTACAGGTGTAACAGGTCGTTACAGCAGTACATAGGAGTCAGGGATCCCACACAGGGGCTGCATATTCAATTAAAACTCTTAAATATGGCTCTGAAGAGGTTCCTTGGACCGCAATGCAAGGGAGGAGTTTGTGGACAGGATAGCGTAATGAATCCACTGACCTGTCTACCCGCAGAGTGAGTGGCACAATAGAAGTGGAGGCTACTGTGGCTTATGGAGGGAGTGGGGTGGGAAAAAAAGAGATCTGCTCCCTATCTTTATAGGGAAAGAATTCCTTCTTCCCACCTCAGCATTCAGCTTATTTACTTGAATTGTATGAAGGTATAAGGATTTCATTTTCAAAGCTTTACCATAAAGGGCTAAATTAATTGTCTTCTTTTTGGTCACTTGATCATTTTCAGTCCGTAGTGTCTCTCCAACACGTGGTGGGAAAATTGTAACAAAGCCACAATTGATGGATAATTCAATCATAGATATTGGTATATATGCTAGAGGGTTTTTAGGTTCATATAAGGCTTTTCCCTGAGGCAACAATGAACTTGGGTAGCTCAGATGATTGTTGTGTTTTTGTTGTTGTTTTTTTTAAGGCTGGGGGAATGATGCCTGCATGCAGCTTTTGAACAGTCAGAGGGAGACTTCCTGCTATAAATATAACAGTGCATTTGCAGTGTAGTACTGAGCAACCACTTCATTGATTGATTAAAAAAAATAAAAAAATAAATAAACTTTTGACAGCAAACTTGGGGAATTCACAGCAAAGCCCTCATACTCTAGCAATTCTATGGGAAACTGTTCTGAGACTTCAGTTATATTTTTCTGGGGAAAATAAGGTCACATGTAGATGCCCAATTAATTGCCTTCCTTATCTAAAATGGTTCTTTAATGCAGATTTTTCCATAGACATCTAAAAGCCTGCTCCTATAAAGCTACCCGTCTTCAATTAACTACAGTAGATATATTAAACAAAGGAGCAGTTAGTGACTGGGTCTCTTGAGTCCAACAAACATTAAAATCCTTTCCAGAAATGTCACTGTAGTTCTTCACTTCCTACTTTCAGGCTTAGTCTCCCTCTAATCATTCACCCTGCTCAGTGTGTGATTTTACTAGTTTTAACCTCATTGCAGCCCTAAATAAAACTTTGTATTCTCTGGTAAAGCCTAGATCTAGTAAAATTGAAAGTGTTAATATTCTTTCTACATACTTGACTTTTATTTCACCTGTTCCCTCATTCTTCTGGAGTATATTTTCTGCCCTTTCTTTCATAAAGTCTTAGAGCCTGAATCTGTTGCCACTGCCATTGAATTCAACGTGGAGCAGTACTGAGCCCTCAAATCAAGTTTAAATGTAGCTTCAACCCATAGCAACCAGTAGAATTCTCAGGAGACAGACCAAGGACTGTATGGATCTAGATCCACAATTTGCCTCTTGCCCCCCCTTTGCAGAATAAGGTTGAGGTAGGGCAGCTAGAGTTGCCAGGTGTCCGGTTTTCAACCGGAACACCTGGATGAAAAGGGACCTTGGAGGCACCGGTCAGCACTGCTGTTAAAAGTGTGGTTGGCAGCACAGTGGGGCTAAGGCAGGCTCCCTGCCTGCTGTGGCTCCGCGTGGCTCCAGAAACAGCAGCATGTCCACGCTCCAGCTCCTACACATAGGGGTAGCCAGGGAGCTCTGCACGCTGCCCCTGCCCCACATGCCAGCTCTGCAGCTCCCACTGGCTGGTAACTACTGCCAATGAGAGCTACGGGGGCAGCACCTGTGGACGGAGCAGCATGCAGAGCCACCTGGCTACACTTCTGCACAGGAGTCAGAGGGGGGGACATGCCACTGCTTCCGGGAGCTGCCTGAGGTAAGTGCCACCCAGAGCCTGCACTCCTGAACCCTCTCATGCCCCAACCCCCTGCTCCAGCCCTGATCCCCCTCCCGCCTTCTGAACCCCTCTGTCCCAGCCCGGAGCAACCTCATACACCCCAAATCCCTCATCCCAAGCTCCACCCCAGATCCCACAACCCCAGTGGGAGCCCTCACCCCCTCCCAAACCCCAACCTCCTGCCCCACCCAGGTGAAAAAGATTGAGTGAGGGTGGGGAGAGTGAGAGACAGAGGGAGGGGGGAATGGAGTGAATGGGGGGTGGGGCCTCAGAGAAGGGGTGGGTGGGGTAAGGGTGTTCAGTTGTGTGCGAGTAGAAAGTTGGCAACCCTAAGGGCAGCATGGATGAAGTTTGTGCTGCTGCTCATGCTATATTTGGTCTGTGGATACATGGAACACCTGAGTTTCTGATTAAGCTATTGATTTAGCACTCCTTACGACCCTCCTGTATTCATTTTAATAAATTATATTGGATAATCATGGCTATGGAGAAACTGAACTGGATTCCCATTTGCACTGAGTTCACTTGGCACAATTCTGTCAATGTTAAAAGGGCCTTAACAGGGGAGTAAATTAATTTTATACACTTTTTTTATACACAATTTTATACACCACATTAATAGAGATGTGTAAAGGGGCCTTAGTGTAAATGAGAATCAGGCACATTATCTGCAATACAGAGCTGATAACTATGCTAAATACATTGCTACTGCACTTAGGCCCTCCTTCAGGAGCATAGTCTTGTTTTGAAAAGTGATGTAGGCTTCAAAGTCACTTGGGTGTTTATGAAAATTTTCCCTTGTATACTAAATAAAATAAACTCATTTAACAACCTAACTGAATTTTCTTTCACACACACACACACAAAGAAATGCTGGTTGGCAAAATGTAGAACTTGATATTACTGTAGATAATTTGCTGTGGAAGAGCAAGTATGTTGACAAGTACAACAGTGCACAGCAGTAACTTTTATCAACATAACCAGTAGTAACAAAGCTCTCTTGTGTCAGTGTTTGGTTAAACACCTCCCCAACAGTAAATTAAAAGAGCATATGTCCAGGAGGGAGTGGTATTGAGAGAATGCCAAAGAAGAGCTCAATGAATCCTCAGATAGGATCTTTGAAAGCTTTGTCCCTTATGAAAAGATCTTATAGTACTTAGAGAATGAACACCCTTTCTATTATAGTTTTAGAACAGCCTACATAATTCTATTGCAGGGACCAATTTCTTCCCTAAAATTTGTAGGATGGTCAAAAAGGTCTATGGGATGGATCTTTACTATATAAACAAACTAGTTTTTCTCCTTTTTAGGAACAATAACTTTAATCAGACCCAGGCAGGATTAAGGCAGATACATTAGAGGTCTGTGCATTGGGCCCTGCTCCTGGAATCATGTGATTATAACAGAAGTTTAGCCCAATCTAAAAAAAATTTTAAAAGCTCTCCACATTTGGGAAAAATCAAAATAAACTTGAAAACATAACCTGAACATTAATGATACATTGAATTTTGTCTGAGCCTAGACAGTTCGAAATACAGCTTCTGAAAAGTATGTACTGCCCAGTGCATCACACTCACTATTCTGCTGTAGGGATCTCACCAACACCACCACAGCAAAGGACTCCATGTGGCAGAAGAGCACAATGAGCCTGGCCCTTCCACCCATATGCTTATGCCTTGACTGCTGAGACTAAGTAGTGGGGGACCCACTTGTGAGGGAACAGGGACCACTAGTATCATTGCTACTATTCCGAAGGAAGGGGGTCTTCTATAGCTGTCACTACTGTCTCTCTAGGACACTCAAGTTAGGAGACATGGACATACCAGGGAGACGAGATCCCAGGAGGCCCTGTGGCATGGTGTTCCTATGGCTCACGATGGTCTTAATCCAACCCTGCAGCAGAAACATTAATGCCAAGGATGAACAAAAGGCTGATAATGCTTCCCTGCAAAGAGTCACTAATTATTTTCTCAAGCAGGGACATTACAATCAGTTGAAAATTGCCACTTCCAGTAACAGGACAGCCACTTTTCTGTGGGAGAAGATGTGGGATTTGTTTTAATCTGGTTTTCTGGCTTTACTTGGTTTCTTACCCAGAAAAATTGCCATAGAAACTGTTCTAAAGAAATTCCCTTCCTGCCTGTAACCATGCCTCAGTGGGTCACAACTGAGGATGCCAAATTCAGGAAAAACTGCTGAGAAATAGGGCAGATACACCCCAAGACTGGTAGCTAAGCCCCCTAGGATATACCGAACCAGCCACAAAAGTAAACTTCTGTTTCACCACACTGGCTACCAAGAAAACATAAAGGCAGTTTCCTCAGGCATTCGAGTTCTTATATCACCACCAAAAACACTGGATTTAAAGGTGAGCGGTTTTTTACAACCAGTCTCATCAAATAATAGGTTCTTCTGATCCCAAAGGACCAGCCACACACCCAGGTCAATATATAACTTAGAGCTTACCCAAAAATCACACTGGTGTCAATCCTCTAGTATCTAAAATCTAAAGGTTTATTCATAAAAAGAAAGAAAGGTGAGAGTTAAAATTGGTTAAAGGAATCAAATACATACAATAATTGCAAAGTTCTTGGTTCAGGTTTGTAGCAGTGATGGAATAAACTGCTGGCTTAAGTCAAGCCTCTGCCTGCTTCCAAATCATTAGAAGGTCCTTGATCCCTTGGTTAGAATGCTCCCATTAGTATAAGCTCATAGTCCAGAGGCTTGGGCTGGAAAAAGGCTGGAGCAGGATAGAGGGTGGGGCAAGACAGAGGCAAAATGGAGAGGTTTCCAGCGCCTTTTATATCCTCTGCCATGTGGAGGGAAACCCATTGTTCTGTGGAAAATTACAGCAACAAGATGGAGTTTGGAGTCACATGTCCACGCCCAACTTCGCTCAGTCATTGCAGGAAGCCATTAACTACACTCCAGACAGCATGTTTACATGACAGTCCACTCAATGTAGATGGGCGTCTCCCATGGTCCATTGTCAACCAAGTGTTTCTTGATGAGCCACTTAATTTGAATAGTCCCTCCAAGATGTGCTGGCTAGCTACCTTGTGGGTGGTACCCCAGAAGCAAACATTTGAAATCTAGGTATAGTGCCAATACTTATAACTTCAAATACAAAAATGATACATGCATATGGATAGCATAACCAACAAAATCATAACCTTTTCATAGACACCTCACTTGACAAACATTGTACAAGATTTGCAGCAAATCTATAACAGTGGTTGCAACCAGTGATGAGCTGCCAAAATATTAACAACAGGCTCCCTCCTCCTCACCCCACAAGGGGGTCATGCCCCCCTGACTCCTGCCCCATCCAACGCCCCATGTTCCTTGAGGTGCCCCCCCGGAACCCCTGCCCCATTGCCCCCCCCAGGACCCCTGCCCCATCCACCCCACTTCCCTGTCCCCTGACTGCCCCCTGCCGCCCCATCCAACCCCTCCTCGCATTCCTGATGGCCCCCCGGGACCCCTGCCCCATCCAACCACCCCTTCTCTCTGTCCCCGACTGACCCCCACTGCCCCATCCAACCCCTGCTCCTTCCTGACTGCCCTCATTCAATCCCCCTGTTCCCTGCCCTCTGACCGCCCCCTATCCACCCCCCACCACAATCTCCCAAACTCCCCTGCCCTCTTCCAACACCCCCTCCCTCCCTTACTGTA